ATGCACAGCGAAAACAGATTCTCCGTCTTGACCATGCTTTGAAAATGCTTTGAGTTTCTCTTTTGCTACGGCAAAATTATCTGAGAAAATTTTCCGTGTCGGCAGTGCCGAACGCCATTGCGGAAAATTTTCCAACATCCTGGACAATTTCCGGAGATTATCTGCTGGCCGAACGCGCCCTAGATACACATGACTTCGGTGCGGCAGCACATAGTCGGTACCGGTACCGATTCATTGTACTTGAGAAACTGGCCTGTGCCTGGGCTCCAGTGCTGCCGGAAAGTTGTCGTCGAGGGGAACTGCTGGTTCGTAGACGGGTGGGGAATGCCGAGATATTTTGGCGCAGCAGAACGTCCTGAACGAAATCATCCACCATAAACGAGATAAAAGAAAAAACAGGAAGCCGGACTGCAATCAGGTTACCTACAGCATAGACAACGATGGCGACATTGGCATCTGTTCCGGAACTGTACGACAGATGACACTTCACAGCCAATTCGGAAACAAAACGCCTCCCGGCGATATCAACGCGGGGGGTTGCAGTGTCATACAAACCAGGAACCACGCTATCCATCCAGGCCAAGAGAGAGCGAGAGCAAGAGCAAAAGCAGGAGAAACGTGCATATCATGCGTCCCGAGGCCCTGGAACGCCGAAGTCCACGAACTTTAACAGCTTCCACCAGTGTGTCCCAAATAGGACAGATAAGTCGTGCGCGCCGGTACAAGCCTATTCCATAGTCGAGATTGCCTGACTGTCAATAGGGCCACTCAGCTGACTACAACGGACCACTTTGAATGAGATGCGCGACTATATGCCATATCTTTGTCAACCTGCCCGCCCCATCGTACCCTTTCCCCACAGTGAGCCCATATCCCGCCTGCGCACTGGAACATTTGGACTTGCCCCACGGTGAGCCCGCACTCCACCCGGGCACTAGAACATTTGGAATTTCCTCATAGTGAGCCCGCATCCCACCTGTGCACTGGAACATTTGGACTTCCCACACAGTTAGCCCGCATCCCACCTGTACACTGGAACATTTGGACCAAAGGCCAATCATTTCTCGGCACAGGGACAACCAGCTGTTGGTGCACATCGCTAACAGGGACTATCGTATTTTGTGTGTATTAACGCTAATGTCAGCAAGCGGTTTGTACATCCTTGTTTAAATTTTCACGCTCGTTTAATCTCTCGTACGTATGTTTCCAACTGACCTTCCAACAGGACCTGCCTTTGTGATGGATGTGCCCGGCGGCGGGCAACTCACCGCGGCAGGAAGCCGTCCCAGCCGAGCACCCCCACCAACACGCAGTCAAAGCACGGCAGCCCAGCCCGGAGTCCCGACGTGGGTCCTCGGCGCCGCGGCTGGCACTCACAGACAGCACCCTGCCGCGGCCTGGGCGGGGCGCGCGCGTCGGACCGCACTGAGCGGTGCGTCGCGACGCGCCGGTGCGGGGAAGTGCCAACACTGACGGCGGCGGAGGCTGGACAGGGGTGGGGCGGCGCGCAGGTCCACCCCCGCCCGGCGGATCGCTCGGAACTGACGGCGGCGGAGGCTGGACAGGGGCGGGGCGGCGCGCGGGTCCACACCCGCCCGGGCGGACCGCTCGGACACATGCAGCGGCCATCAGCTGGCGGCTGCCCGCCGCCACCGCCAAGTGGTGACGGTCATATTGCACTTCGACCAGACCAGGGGCGCATCCAGGATTTGTGAAGGGAGGGTACGCAACATTTTGCGGCCCCCCTCCAAAAAGTATTCTCCCATTCCGGCCATTACAACTTTTAAGAGAGGAGAGAGAGAGAGAGAGAGAGGAGAGAGAGATATATATATAATATATATATATTATACTATATATATATATATATATATATATATGATTAAAACTCAGGAACTCATATTGGTGTGCGCAGCTCTATAAAGCTAGGCATGCTACGTACGCACATGCATGGAGCTCATTCATTTTCTCCAGAACGTGTTTAATACTGTAACTTTGAGGCTGTGTTCGGAACCACTGGTAGAATAAACTCAAGCTCGTTGCTAAATATCATCAAAACCAAGCACTTGATTCCAAGGACTTGATTCCTATCTTGTTCACGGCTAGCCGAGTGGGGTGGTTGTAATCAGCTGATGGCTGATGACTGGTGCAGAATTTTCGTTTTGCTATAAAGGAGTACAAAAAATGCTGGCATTCATGTGTCATTGGGGCATTACGGCGCGCATCAGCTGCTGAAGCTATATGACGTCGCCTGTCTCTCACCCTGGCAAGAAAGGCCGGGCACCGCGGGGAACGGCGTCGGCGGCCGTAGAACACGTTCGACAAATGCGCATAAAAATTCATCGGCGCATATTCGAATGCTGCTCGAAGGTTAAGGCACCAAGGCCCTCTAGGGGCGGAACCTGAGGGATCATGGGTGCGCGGCAGGCCATTAGAGAGGACTCCCCATCAGAGTATGGGGTCTTCAGAGCAGAGTGCGAGAAGGAAACCAAGACCAACGTGGCGGGCCCCTGAACGATCGGTAGTGCTCCGACAGGCTTGACATACAAGGCCAGAGCACAGGACCCTCCAAGCGGAGGGAAATACCTTAGACCATGGATTAATATCCCCATGTGCGATGTTAGAGTGCCGGGCAGATTAAATGAAAAGCACCCAATAAGAGGTGAAGAGTCCTCCACTGATGAGATAGAAGGGAAAGAGCCCTAGGGCCCCTGAGCAAGTTGGTGAGCAAACAGAGGGCTCCTGAGTGTGGAGTGTTTCAGTATATGACCTTATATGACCTTACCTTACATGAGCCTCACCAACAGCGCATGGTCCTCCGAGTAAGTGGAGGGAACAAGATAATAATATAAAGGGCCCCTGGTCAAGTGAGTGTACCCAGGTATATGGGGTCCCGGAAAAAGCGTATAGAGCCTTTTGGGCGGATGGTAAGAATCCGCGAAGGAAAACCTAATGGATCAAGAATCCCTAGGCATGTAAGCAGATAGTGTCCCGACAGCAGCGTTGGGCCCTACGAGAGAATGCAAAAGAAATCAAGGGCGACGTGGAACTGAATGACTCGTGCCATACAAAACGTAAACCCTGCACTGGTCATCGTTGTTCAAGTAATACTATTGTCGTACACATGAGCGTCTCATTAATTCCACAGCCACTGATCGGCATCTGTGGGCATCAGTTCAAATAAAAGTCACGTTTTCAGTGAAATACGGTAGACGTCGACGGCATATATGCTATGTTCGGCATGTCATGCTCCGATCTGCGCACTAGTGATCTAAACTAACAAAGATGGCACCTCGGGTCTTAAACAAGATGGATGTACCACGTGTGCCACACCATGTGTTACGCTCAGTCAGGTGTGTTCGCCTTCAATTTGACAGCGGCGCTCAGTGACACTCAGTGGTTCAACGACCTGTGCAGGACGCGGAGCTGCCGATTATATCTGCCGTGCTCCTCCTGCAAGCTGGCCATAGTCATGTCATCTGCTCTGGAGGCAGGTCGCAGCGGATGCCACAGAAGAGATAAGGGGCTGGGGAAGGATGGAGTGAAGTCCCAGCGGGCCCCACGGCCGACCACTGCCCCTGGGACGGCAGCGAGCCCCACGGCCGACCACTGCCCCTGGGACGGCAGCGGGCCCCACGGCCGACCACCGCCCCTGGGACGGCAGCGGGCCCCACGGCCGACCACTGCCCCTGGGACGGCAGCGAGCCCCACGGCCGACCACTGCCCCTGGCACGGCAGCGGGCCCCACGGCCGACCACTGTCCCTGGGACGGCAGCGGGCCCCACGGCCGACCACTGCCCCTGGCACGGCAGCGGGGCACAGAGTCGCCCCAAGAAGGCGAACCAGAGCGGCTCGGGTACGAACCTCAGGTGCCCCATTCAGCGAACAGGAATATTTGTGCAATGTTTTGTTTAGCGAGCCCTGGTCGTCCACAAGGCACCTATCGAACAACTCGCCGTTGCCCAGAGTGAGGGCTAATGGCTGCCTAAACAACTCACTTTGTCCACGCCCCATGGGCTGTGTCTGAAAACAAAGTGGAAGGAAGATTTAAAGGAAGCGTGGA